TTTGCAATAATCGATTATCAGCCTTGCAGCCAAAACCCAGAATCTTCAGAGAGGACCAATAATCGATTATCACTTGTTGACAATCGATTATCTGGGTTACCGTTGTCCTCCAACGGATAGAATTTTAAATTTTTGGACAGGGAATCTTTGGATAATCGATTATCATGGTTTGACAATCGACTATCAGCCTGTGTCCCTGAAAAATTTGTCTTCATCCTGTTGGAAATTCTAGCAACGGTTTTATCCCATTTTGGGCTATAAAATGGCACCCAAATCCTCTCATTTTACACACAATTCTTCAACATTTCAATACTCCTTCATTGCATAATCATTCCTATTTTTATTAGCTATTTGAGAGCCAATTCTTGAAGAAATTGTCGTGTTCTTGAGCGTTTACTAGTTCACTCATATCTACTCTTTGTGAGAGTTTCATTTCTGAGTGTTTAAGTGTTTTCATACACTTTAAGGGAGTTTGTTCCCTTGTTGTAAACTCGAAGGAAGTTTCTTGTTCCTTCGTGAGAAGTCTTGGAGTGCGGTATCTCCGAGTAAAGGTATTGAGGCTCGTGTGACTCTGGTTCTCAAGTTGTATCGGTTTGTTAAGCACCCTTAAGCTTAACGGAGTTAGTGTAGCTCGAGAGAGTCTCTCGGGGGGCTGGATTAGCCACACGTTGTGGTGAACCAGGATAAAATCCGGTGTGCTCCTTCTTTACGCTCTTTACTTTAACGCTCTCGTTTTAATTTCCTGCGATTTTGTTTTAAACCCTATTCACCCCCCCTCTAGCGTTGGGCCTTTATTCTAACAGGCATGACTATGCTCCAAACTCTAAACTGCATAACTGAAGTACATAACTGCTGCTGGTTCATTTACCCGCTGAAAGATTGTTTTGTTTTGACTAAACTTTATAATGGGTAATTGGGTACTTCAAGTTTTTGTCCTTCAAGTCACTTTAGTATTTCTATGTTTGATTCTTCTCTTAATTTTGTCGTTACTCCAAGCATTTTTTTTGTTTTCCATTATAAATACCCGTGAGGAATCTTCTTTTTTCATACAATTGAGTCATACTTTTTGTAAATTCATTTTAAGTGAAATATCAGTAAAAAAATTCAACCTGGTTGGCTATAAAAATTCACAATTTAATAAATATTTTAATGCGGGCTGAATTTTTTTTAAAAACTAAACAAATAAAAGCGAAAATAATTTATTTTATTTAAAAAATGGAATAATAAAAGTACGAGTAACTATTATGATTTAAAAATGCAGAAAAGTGCTCTTGGGTACCCCTTATTTTGAGAAACTAGCTGCCGGGTATCTCATATTTTTAAAATACACTCTGAGATACCTCCTATTTTGAGAAAATAACTATTGGGTATCTCACATTTTTAAAATATACTCCGGAGTACCTCCGGATGTATATTAACTTACCCGTGTGGACATTCCAATTCCAATTTTATGGAAAAGAATTTTCTCAAGTTAAATTTTGCAAACTTTTCATCCATAAAGATTTAACTTCTCATTGTTTTTAATACTCAATTTTTTGTTCGGGGAATGTTTTGAAGACGAATACTTCATTAAAAACTAATACCTAGTAGTAAGACTTTTATTTATATATATGTTTTAAAGTTTTCATTGATTAAAAAAAACTTATCCATTATTTTTTAAAGTATTTGCTATAATTTTTAAATATGTAAATTTTATCTTTAATTTTATACCAATCTTTAAATAATAATAATGCTCCATAATAAAGAAAGAATAAGAAAGTTTGTTGTGTACATCTCATCATCCCAAGCAAAGATGCACTATGAAGAAGGGAAGAGAAAGAGATAAATATAGTACCTCACCGTGAGTTGCATAACTCAAAACGGGGATAAAAAAAACAAGGATTATACAATTCGTCGCCGTCAGCATAACATCATTTACTTGGATTAGACCTTTCACTTTGTGATGGCTATTTTCCACGGTTAAAGTGTGAGTTACCGGTTTGAGATAGGGTAAGTCTTTATCCAATTTATATACGGAGTATAATTTAATTGTAAAAACACCATCCTTATTTCAAACCGGTACTCCACACTCAAGAGAGGAAGTTATTAGGCTTTGTTTTTTCTTTTTGAAAATGAAAGAGAAAAAAGTGAAACAAATACTGTATTATTCTTTGGGAATTTCTTCCATGCCTTTGCTAATGAAGGGGCATGGATGTCCCTCCAGTAAATTCTTGTCATGTGTACTTTTTAATCATGTAAATAAATAAAATACTCCACATCATTTTAATTTTTAAAAATTACATTATAACCCCTTTTTTCCTTTTTCTTATCTAAGGGTCTTTTCTTTTGAATGAAAATTTATTTCCAATATTTTTCCATTCTCTCCACTTTTTTCAACCACTTCAAATTTATTTCAATAACTTAAAAAATTTATTTTATTTTATTTTTTAATAATAATTCAGTTACATTCATTATAATTATTACTACTATTGTCATTATCATCGTCACAATTGTAATTAAAATAAAATAAAGAATTGAAGTAATAACACAATTTTCATATATAAAATATTTCTTTTGTCCCAAAAACATATATGGATTATTAGTTATCATTATAGAGTCAACAAAAAATATTAAAATATTAAATGAATTAATTTATTAAAAAGGACATTCCTCTTTGTAAATTTGTAATAATCCATAATTTCGTTTATTTGTTGATTGAGAAAATTTCAGATTATTTATGCCAGTTTTTGGTTTAAATAAGATTAATGAAAAATATTAGTACACGGTTATTGGCATTGAAATTAAGGAATAAGAAATAAATGGTTTAAGATATATATGAAATTAAGCAATAAACATGTATACTAAGATAATAAGTAAAAATATAATCTGGGGTAATACACATAGTATGAAATAAAAATGGCTTAACATATAAAAAATAAAAAAATAATTAAAATAAATAAAGGAAAATTTATTTTAATAAAAATATTAACTTTCAAAAATATATTACTCATTTCAAACTTTTTTCATTTTTAAAAATTTTAATTTTTTCCTTGAATTTTCTTCAAGCCGTTTTCAACTCCTTCCAATTTTTTTCAAATCCTTATATATATATATGTGTGTGTGTGTGTGTGTGTATAATTTTTAAGTTTTGAAAAAACTACTTTCAAACAGCTAATTTTACCAAACGTTTTTAACGATAATCCAACACCACCAGCCAGTCGAACCATCTAAACTTAACAGCTATTCAGAACTGCTGACACAAACAATCAATAGCCAACAAACAACATGCAAAGAATGCCAATGTACAGTGTTAGAACGTCACAAAGCAAACTCTTATTTCGAAAATAAAAGCATGGAATTCATATTTTAGGGACAAAAGTTATATTTTACATCTATTTGGGGTGATTTATTATTATTAGTATTTTTATTAGTATTAATTTTTTTGTTAGAAATTTAAGAATTGGATGTTGTACGTAATAAAGTAGAAGAAATTAGAAAAAATAGGAAGAAGTCAGAATAAATTGGAAAAAAATTTGGAATGAGGTGAAAACAAATGGAAGAAAATTTTGGAACCGAATTAAAATTTTGAAAAAATTAAAAGAAATGTTTAAATGAGTAATATATTTTTGAAATTTAATATTTTTATTAAAATAATTTGTCCTTTATTTATTTTAATCTTTTTTATTTTTTTATATATTAAACCATTTTTATTTCATACCATGTACATATATTATAGTACCCCAGATTATATTTTTACTCATACTTAATATTACTTTTCTCTTCAACTCTTTAAATCAATATCATTAGTATATATTTTTATTTCTTAATTTCATATATATTGTAAACTATTTATATCTTATTCCTTAATTTCAAGGCCAATAACCGTGTACTAATATTTTTCATTAATCTTATTTAAACCAAAAACTGGCATAAATAATCTGACATTATCTCAATCAACAAATAAACGAAATTATGGATTCTTTATTGTATTTTAATTACAATGGTGATGACGATAATGACAATTGTAGGAATAGTAATAATTATAATTATAATTATAATTATAATGAATGTAATAGAAATATTTTTAGAAATAAAAATAAATAAATTTTTTAAGTTGTTATTGGAATAAACTTGAAGTGGTTTAAAAAAACAGAAAAGAATTGAAAAGGTATGAAATAAATTTTCATTCAAAAGAAAAGACCCTTAGATAAGTAAAAGGGAAAAAGAAATGGGGTCATTATATAATTTTTAGAAGTTAAAATGATGTGGAGTGTTTTATTTATTTATATGATTAAAAAGTCCACATGTCAAGAATTCACTAGAGGGGCATCCATGCCCCTTCATTAGCGAAGGCATGGAAGAAATTCCCTTCTTTATATACTGTATTTTGTAAATTCAAACAGAGTATTTTTTTATAAATTTTTTTAATTATAATAATAATAAGAATAATTTGTATTGTAAATATAACCCGCCAACACAACCCAAATATAACCAACCAATACAATGAGAGAATTGAATATTAGGTTGGACGATATGGGAATTGTGATGGAGCCGTGATGGTTGCCACCACGGCACGTGATGGGGAGGGAATACCGCCCCTCTCCCCGTGAGCGTGATGGCCTTCAATCAACTCCATCATGGCACTTTTTTGTGTTATTTTTCTTCTCTTTTCTTTCTTTCTTTCCTTCCTTCTCTCTTTGTTTTCTTTCCACTTAATCTTTTCTTTACTTTTTAATTCCATTTTTTTAAATTTTTTATGCTTTTTTTTATTTTAAATTTATTTTTCTTTCCCTGTTAGATTTTTTGGGGAATTTACGTAAATAACACTAAAACATAATGATTTTTTCCTAAATAGCATCATATGTGTTTTTTTCCAATGTAGCACTTTTAGAACCTGTTTCTTAGAGCTTGAACTCTTAACTTCCAGTTTCTTCCATTTCCTTCCAGTTCTTTCCAGTTGCTTCTAATTTCTTCCAGTTCCTTCCAATTATTCTAGTTTCTTCCGGTTCCTTTCAGTTTTTTCCATTTTCTTCCAACTATTTTTATTTTCTTCAATCTAGATGACTCCAATCTAGATCTTAAACGAAGATGGAGATGGCGACGTCCTGTAGTGATGGTGGAGTAAAGAGCGACAATTGCAGGTACATGTATTAGAAGGTAGGGACCCCAAGTTTCTTCCTTTTTCTTTTTGAAATTGAAGCAGTTGGCGGAGGTGACGACGGAGCAGCAAGGCTACAGTCGAAGGTGACACGACAGAGTAGCGATCCAACGATTGAAGGTATTGGTGGAGCATCAAGGCAGCCGTCTGATCCTACCCAATTGCTTGTGCGTATTTCCTGGCCAATGCATAGAGCTATCATACGGTAGGGAAGAGTGGGGGACCAAAGAAGTGAAGAGGGGTGGATGGCATTTTGGGAAAGTCAACTACATTTACACTTTTTCTTAATATGCGTGCCCGATCAAACCGGGAAGTTTAATTTTGGACGGAGGGAGTAAAGCATTTTGGGCATGATGTACATGATCCACACCCCCGTCCAGTAATGGGAAAGAGAGATCTCGATGTAGAGTTGAGCGGTAAGGCGTGATACGTGTGATGAAGAACACCATGCCTACCCGCCGTACAATTCGCCACATTCTTATGGTTAAAGAAGATCAATTGTGCCTTGATAAATGGTCATCTTATGAGCATTTGCAATGCTAAAGAAACTCATCGTGCTGAACGAAGGGGAATGGCGAGCAGCAAAGGCACGTTGCATACCACCTGCTGGGCTCCATGATGCGGCGCAACACCAGACATGTGTCGCGAGCAATGGACGGCCATCTATTGCAGCGAGCGATCACGTTGAATCTGAAATATCTACTCCCTCTATCCCCAATTTTGTCCACTTTCAATTTAGCACAAACATCAATATAAAGTGTTAAAAGACAAATATAATCAGCCCTTCTCTGGCTCGCAAGCCTCGCAAGTCACAACCCAAACCCCATAATGTTTCTAGCGTAAATATTCCGCCCAAAGCCTCACCACACAGTCTATCCATCCATTTTCAACTACAGTGACCTCCACCAACAATCCACCGTACAACTCCAATCCTCCACCAACGTTTGAAATTTGAAGACATCTAGCCATTGAAGTCATCTAGCGGACGAGAAAGAAGACTTCCCCCGAGTGATGGAAATTATAGGTGAAAGAGGAAATGTACAAGGGATCTGATAGTGAATGAAAGAAAAAAATTGTGAAAGGGAATTGCTGAGAGATAGGAGAATCACATAGAGTATATTGGACCTTTTAAACGGATATAAGGGTATACTAGTCCTTTCATTTAACTTCTCTTTGTATAATGAAAACTGGACAAATACTGAACAAGTACTAGGGATGAAGGGAGTTTATTTTGATTTCAACTCTACAAATTATCACTTCTCCATTTCTAATTTATTTTATTCAATCTCATGTCACTCTCCTATTCAATTTATCTTCATATTTCTCATTTCACTCTGAAAAATTGCACTTACACCAACAGATGAAGAGCTTGAGGATATGCTAATTATGGCGTACCATGAGGCGTTACCTCTTATCTAGGTGGAGGTCCAAAATAAAATCACTTGACAAGCTGCGCTGGCTAATCCTCTTGTTCAATGTACCTGGTTGTACATATGCCGGGACCGTGAGCAGGCCGCTCGCCATCTGTGTGAAGATTATTTTTTGAGCGAACCGTATTTTTCATATGATCAGTTCCTCCTGTGTTTCTAAATGTGTCGTGTATAATTCATTCACATTGCATATGCACTTGAAACTTGTGATGCGTATCAAATGGTGTTTGACGGGAAGGCTTGTTCCCTATACAAAAGTGCACAATCGCGATTAGGCGGCTTAGATACAATACATGCTTTGACATGTTTGATAAGTATCTCCATGTCGACTACTCTACAGGCCGAGAATGCTTGCAGCATTTCTGCTTAGGTGTCATTGAAGCTTTCAAGGAAACATATTTGTGAAAGACGACTGTCTAAGATGTTCATATGTTAGTCAATATACACGAGCATGTGAACGTGTTGAATGTGTCTTCTTTATTCAACGATATCTATTGTAGATGTGCACCAGCCATGCAATTCACCTCCAATGGTTCCAAATGTAGTTTCAATGTTTCCACAGTATAATTGCTACTTTGCATAAAAAAGTTGAAAATAAAAATAAAACATAAAGAACGAATCGAAATAGGACCTTCATATTCATATATAAAATAAGAGTTACAATATGAATAATGTCAAAATAACCTCTCATCTTTGAATTCCTGAAAAATAAGATGTATTCGAAGAATTTCCTGCTCTAATACCAATTGTTAGACAAAACGTGCAACTCTAGAGGGGTGGTGAATATAGCTGTTTTCTAGAATGGGCGTTTTTTCACGTGTGTGATTAACGAAAGGAAAAATAGCAGGAAATATGTAAAGAGTAGAGGGAAAGAAGAACACCGCAATGTATACTGGTTCACCACCTCGTGGTTAGTCCAAACCTTCGAGAGACTCTCTCAAAGGTCCTACTATACTTCAAGCTTCAATGAGTGCGTGAAAAACTGAATATAACTCGAGAACTTGAATTCCACAAGCCTCAACTTCTTAGAAACAAGACTTGAATCACACAAGTCTTAGAACTCACAAACTTAAGGAAAATTGAGTTTAACAACACGAGAAAGAAGGCTCACACAATTGAGCAAGTAGTGTTAAATGTAAAGCTCTAATAGATGAAATATCTTTGCACTCAAATAAAATACGTTTCTAGCTCTCAAAATAGTATTTCAATGATCAAGAATGGAGCAATAGTTGAATGAATAAGAGAAAGTGAAAGGAGTGCTTGAATTGTGAACGCCAGAGCAACCTACGCCCAAATGGTGAATAAGTTGTTCGCGCCGATCCTGGGAAGATGCATGGAGGCATACATGGATGATATGATTGCCAAGTCAAAGCAAATGGAATCACATGCGCAGGATCTAGAAAAGGTATTAAAGATCATGCAAAAATATCAGCTCTGACTCAACCCCAAGAAGTGCACATTTGGGGTGCAAGGTGGTAACTTCTGGGGACACATGGTTAGTCGGAGAGGCATCGACCCCAACCGTGAGAAGGTTTGGACAATACTGGACATGGAACCTCCGTGGAATAAGAAAGAAGTTCAGAAGATGACGGGATGGATCGCTGCTCTCAGCAGATTTCTATAAAAGATAGCTGATCGAGAGGCACCTTTTTTCCAAATGATGAAGAAGAGAAAGGGTTTATTCAGACAGAGGAGTGCCAGCGGTCGTTTGAAGAACTGAAGGTTTACCTCCTCTCCCAACCGGTGCTTTCAAAGCCAGAGGAGACACTATACCTATACTTAGGTATCTCTCCTCGGGTTGTGAGCTCATTGCTAGTAAGGGTAGAGGGAGGTTCACAACAACCGGTATATTACATGGCTAGGGAGTTAAGACGAACCAAATTGAGGTACTCCAACATTGAGAATATGACCTTTGCTCTAGTATGCACTGATAAGTCGTTTTTGGATTAGTTCTTTTTATTCTTTTTTAGGCATTTTTAAGATTTTTAGAGTTTAATTTTTAGTTGTTTAACATAGTTTTATTTTAATTTCTATTTTTACAATCTTTTAATTTTCTTTCAAAAAATAGTAGTTTTTTAATCATTTTTTTTACATTCTATTATTTTTATTTTCCCTAACCCAAAATTATCAAATATCTTATTTTTTGGAGAAAAGTGTAGCAAAAAAAGGCCAAATTGAAGCTCAAGTTTGAAAAGAAGACGTTGAATTTGGGCCAAAGCCCAAAATCATCAAAAAAACAAGTCCCGTCCCTGTTTTGTTTCACGCAAGAATGAAAAGCTACGTCAGCGACTCCTTCTTCGTCGAAGAGTAACGCCGAGGACCAAGGCTCCAACGTTCAGCTCCATCAAATTCGGAGCAATTAATCTCCAACGGGCAAAAATTCAACGATAAAAAGCTCATTCTTGCTATAAATTGGGAGGCCGCTACTCACAAACAATCGGGGGGAATCGTACAGAAATAACAGAGCAGCGGATCTTGCCGCTGCAATTAACGCCACGGGAGAAGAAAGCAGACGGCGGCCGACCACGGCTCGCCGGCGTTCGACGATGGTCGGCGGTTAGGGGTGGGTTCGGTTTTTACCCAAAACCAAAGACAAAACGGAAGGTAAGTTGGCGGTTCGGTTCGGTTTTGCATAAAAAATATGCAAACCGTTGGTTATTCGGTTCGGTTTTATGCGGTTTTTACTTCGGTTTTTTTCGGTTTTTTCGGTTTGTAGAAGTAAATATTTATAAGCATTAAAAATTGTATAAATACTAACTCGACGAAGCAATAACAATACGTAAGTTTGGGTTTGGTTTTTTTGCTTGATTTTTACACACAAAAAAAGCCGAGCGGAAGGTTAGTGTTCTCATTGGTTCAATTTTATATACAAAATATGTGTCAAGTGCCTAACAAACATCTAGAAGATTCTAAATAATCTTAAAGATATCG